CACCTTTTATAGGGGTAGGGGGGCCCGGGAGGGTAGGGGTTTTAAATGCCACGAGCGCGCTGAACCTTTTTTTGGGCCGGCCTCGCCCGTTTGAGGGAGGGGGGTCCCTGTCGGTTTATGGGGGGGCGGGGGCAGGGCGGGGGCCGGGGCCCCCGGGGGCCGGGGTTACCCACCGGACACCCTTTTTAAAAAGGTAAAAGGGCGGTTTTGGGTAGGGTAAAGGGAACCAGCGCCGGGTGGAAGGCCCCGGGTCCGCAGTTAAAAAGGAGGTGGGGGGCCAAATTGGGGGGGTTGGGTTTGGAACGGGGGGCAAGGGCGCGTGCCGGGCCCGGCCCCGGTACCCCAAACCCAAACCTGTTTTAGGAAAATAGGGGGTAGGGGGAGGGTACGCACGATGCGGCTGAAGGACGGGTCGCAGTAAAGGGGGAGGGGTCAGGGCGGTGATTTTGGGGGGGCGGCAAGGGGCGTGGGGCTCGGGCGCGGGGACTTCCCCCACCTGTTTTAAAAAGTTAAGGGCGGTTTGGGTAAAAGGGGAAAAAGCCAAAGACCCCCTTTTTAAAGCCCCGGGTTGCATTAGAGGGCCCCGGGGGTTTATTTTTGGTGAATTGGGCGGCGGGCCCGGCGCCTTGGGGCCCCGGCGCGGGGACCACCCCAACCCCGCTGCGGCGCCGGGGAAAGCGCCCCCCCGTGCTCGCACCCCCGACACGGGCGGGGGGTCTTTTGGAAAAAATTTTTTGATTATCACGTCCCCACCTGCACACGACACCACGGGAAATGTGCATCAACCTATTTTTTTATTATAATCATTTTTAATTTTTATTCAAAAAAAGTTTTTGAAACAAAAAGAACAAACGTTTGTATGAAAAAACAAAAAAAATACAATATTGCTCAGAAAAGCGAACGTCGGTTGGATATACTATTGCAAAGCAAAAACATTAAAAACGTTTTTGAGAGGGGTTTTTGGTTTGTATTAGATAGGTAGGCGTCGGAAAATTTTTATCCCAAGGCTAGGTTGGGCCCTATCCTGATGGGGTTTCGCTCCCGGTTTTCAGGCCAACTTCCACTTGGGGGGCGGGCGGGGGGGGGGGGCGAGCACGAGCACGCCCGCCTCGCACTCCAAACCCGGGAGCCCCCCCAAAACCCCCCGTCGATTCCCCGCCGGGACGGGGACGTGGGGGCGTTCACGAGTTGCACCCGAAAACCTTTTTTTATATCCCCCCAAAAGTTTCAATAATAAATTTTGGTAATTACTAAAATAAAAAAAAATTTTCTAATTTTATAAAACCCCTTTTGCAATTTTTCCCCGCAAATTTTGGGCTTTAGACTTCATTAGAATTTTTTCTCCCGGTCAAAATTAAATATAGTTTTTTGGGGGGGTTTCATTTTAGGGTTCCTTTAAAGATAGAGTGTTTGAGCAGGAGGGGGTCAGGGCTTATTAAGAAATAAAGGGGGAAATCGGGCAAATTTTGAAAATGATGGCGGGGGCCCCCAGAAAGTTTTGGTTAAAATTTAAAAAAAAAGGAAATTTATAAAATTTTTTTAAAATTGAAAAAATTTATTTAAATTTGAAGCGTGGCATGCCAAAAAGTGTTCAAAACTTTTTTTATATTAGCTCAAATTTTAAATTTTAGCAACACGTAAAACTGCTTCCCAAAATTTATTTTCAAGGGGGTTTTCGATTTTTGTTTTTATTATTATTTTTATTTTAGGGTTTTTACAATTTGGTAGAACCAAAAAAGCCCGGCACATTTCAGAGCGTTTTTTTGCGCCCAACCTTTTTTTGTACTTTTTATCAAGCAGCGGGAAAAGTTTTAGCCAAATCCCCCTTCGTTTAATTTGGTTTTCGTAAATTTGGGGCGTTTTGAATGTCGATAATTTTTAACTGCATTGACTTTTGGCGCATTTTCAATTTGGAAAAACGGAAAAAATTTGAATAATGTCCCAAAAAGAGGTTTCAAAATTTTTTAAACTCCTAAAAACTGTCTTGAAAAAATTTTAATCAAAATACTAGCTTTCATATAACTGAAAATTTAAACGCCCGTTTTGTTTAAATTTTTCAAAACCCTTTTCTATAATTTTGGGAAAAAAGAAATTTTAATTTCCAAAAATTCAATTGCGATCTGAAAAAAGGCCCGCTTGCATTTTTTAAATACTTTTAAAGCAAGCGGGAAATTTACATGATAAAAACGAGCGTAGAAATGGAAAATCAGTTTTTTTTGCCTTTTAAGCCGGGGGGGTTCAAGGGCTTTAAATGATTTGTAATGTCAAAATAAAAAAGCCCAAAACACCAACTAATCCCAAACTTTTTAAGTTCCCGGGGAAACCCTTTTTTCTTTTCCGCCAGAAATATTTTCCAAATTTTTTTTTTTAAAATTTTGAAATCGTTCCGTTGGGCAAACCCGACTTAAACCACCTTTCTTTTTGATATACAGTAAATCTCCATATTCGCTTTGGGGATTACAAAATTTTTTGAATTTCCTTTTTTGAGGCCCCGTGTTTTAATTTTTCCTCCCCCCCTTTTTCTCTTTTTAAAACAAAATTTTTTTGCAACCGGGGTTTTTGGGGATTTTTGAAAACGCCGAAACTTCCCACTTTATGTTTTTTTTTCAAATTTTTTTTAAAAAAAAAGGGGCCCTTGGGAATGCAAAGGGGAAAAATCATGAACTTTCCCCCTTTTTAAAAAGTTTTTTTTTGAATTTTTCCCCAAAAAATTAAATTAGAGAAGCCCAACTTTTAAGGGGCCCCCCTCAACAACTCCGCTTAAAAATTTTTTTTAAATCCTTGTTTTTAAATAATCCAAAAATTTGGCCGTAATTTTAATTCTGGTTTGAGTTCAATGAAAAAAATTTTAAAACCCTTTAGTTTTTTAAAAATCTTTTGAATATTTTCCTCAAAAGAATAAAAGGGGGGTTTGATGGGCTACCTTAAAATGGATTTTCCTCTGAAAAAAAAAAATTTTTTTTTAGTTTTCCATTTTTTGCCGCAATTTTTCCTTTTTTAAAAATAACGGTGGGTAGTTTTACGTTTTTTAAATTTTAAATTTTTTGTTGCCTTCCCGGGCCCCAAAAATTTTCCCCTTTGGGCAAACATTTTTTCAAAAACCTAATTTTGGTTTTTTAAAATGGGGGTTTTAAAAAAACTGCTTGCTGAAATGGTTTTTTTAAAAAATTTTTTTTAAACCCCTTTGGCGGGGTCGGCAAAATCTTTCCCTTTCGTTGCCCAAATTTTTAAAAACAAAAGGGCTTTGTTATGCGAACATACAAAAAAGTATTTCTCAGTCCAAATTTCTTGAAACTGCCGATTTTCATCTTTAACCTTACGTTTTTTATTAGGTTCTGGCTTGTCCATGTTGCGTTCTAATCCTGGCTAGGAATAACACAGCCCCTAAAAACAATTACAGTACCTACTTAATTAACTATCCTTTTTTAAATTACCAAAAAAATTGATCAAATAGGTAGGGAAACACTTATTAATAACAGTTTTACTTACAATTTCTCAACACAATTATACATGGCACTCGACGGGAAATCTACGTTGAATGTGGATCAAAATATATGACACCGGCTAGTCGAGTTAAAATCTACACTAGAACTATTGACACTTCACTCAAATTAAAACCGAACTGTCGGTCGCTGTGCGGTTAGCGTGGCTTTTATACCGCGCGTATAGAGTCGAAAACTATCTGGAGAAATCTCGAAACCGACTCTGGAAGCTTCGTGTATCTACCTACGTGAGCAATCGGGAATTCGGGACTATTGCTATCTCGCTTGGCCAACAATATAACCCGTGGATAAGCCGCCACCGCGCTGCCGCGGCGCTTACTCAAGAAAACGAATTTAACCGACATCAGCACGAACACTACCGACGCATGCACGGCGCACCGATAAGCGCACTTAAGAGCGCGCGCGCGAGATTCAAGTCGGCGGGCCACCAGTATTCGACCGGCGGGCCGCGGTTTGTGCATCTCTGGTGTAGAGGCAAGGAGAACCATCTCATATTGGAAGAAAGTTGAAAAATTGTCTAGCTGTATACTGAAAATAGAAGTCGCTGTCGTACAAAACCTACTTTATTTATTGTCTGCAAAGCTCATTGACTATTTTCGTAATCTAGTACATTACACATTATATACTAGATTACAAAAATAGTCAATGAGCTTTGCTATTTAAGCCAATATAAATGTATCCTAGGCTACCGTAGCACCACCCTTATTGGACGCGTGTTTACGGACACTTTTCATACACAGAGATGGTTCTCCTTGCCTCAACCCTCCATAAGTCAAAGGCAATCTCGGGTAGGTATAGTTATACCTGATTTTAGAGTATACACATATCACAACCACATTTCTTTTTTAAAATTTCACAAACAAATACAACTATGATTCAACACTTAATGTATTTTCATGTCTTTTGTAATTTAAAATAATGAACATCACTAATATTACAAAAAATAAATATCCCACATATTTTATACTAGCTTCTGTAATTACCTGAACGGTGGGTGGTTGTAGCAGTAGGGGCAGAGCGGGAAGCTCTTGCCCTTGTTGCCGGAGGACCAGGAGAGCAGCTCGAAGTCGTCGAGCGGGCACTTGAGCTCGCGGTAGATGCGCACGGTGCCGTTCTGCGGCAGCGCGTACGTGTCGTCGCAGTGCGAGCAGTGCAGGCGAGCTGGCTTCGCCTGACAAACACCGTATTACCTTCATTTCTGCCAACTTCTTCTGTCATTTAACCTTTCATACTATGATCATTACACACATTCAAATGGGCTTTCCATGAGCCGTTGATGGCGTTCAGTTCTGTCAAGTACGTATACATATAGTATTCACTTGTGACATGCGTATCCGCAGATATCCGAGGTTGCAAAATGACCTGTATTTGTATCTGTTACTACTTTTTTAAATTGAAGATTTATTTCAACATATACAAGGTATATTATTTTAATATAATTATGAAAAATGAAACCCCAAATCTTTGTGATATGTTTACCAAATAATGATTTAAAAAATTATGCGTAGTGTAAGTCAAAATATGTTACATTATTTAGTCCTGAACGTAAACTGTCGTTTCAGAGTCTATAGCAACAAACAAATAAATAAACACTTGCATTAGCAGATCAAAACCCTAAAATTCTATATCCGTGGGTATTCATTTTTAACGATCCAGCATATATCACTAATTATTACTTATTAACTTTGTTATAAATATTTTGAGGCATTATATTTAGTTTCAAACTGTAGATATATTGCTTAATATTATCATTGATGGCAGTAAATATTTTACTAAAAATTGTGAAGATAGAAAACTACCTTGGACGCATGACTTCATATCAAAATTTTATATTTGTTTTTTGATACACAATTTACAATACATAAATTACTTAAAGAATAAATCGATTTCTTTAAAGTCACCAGTCAAAAATCACGTATCCAAACCTTATACATACCTGAATATATCTCATATAACGCCTGCACTTCCCACACCTGGACAAAGCTTTGCCGCTGCTCTTTAGCGAAGAGAAATTGACCTCGAAAAGCTGGTCCATGGCTTCGATAGACCTCACGAAGTACTGGAACTTCCGCCGGAATATCTCCGTGGTGTGTGCCAGCACCGCGTGGAAGTCAGCTCGCCCAAGTGCTATGAGCAGCAGTTGCTCTTCTAGGGCTGAACGCATTGTTGGTAATACTAATTCTGGATCGATCTGCAGATTTATAAAAAAAAATAGTGTAAAAAAATATACTGTAGTTACATATATAAATAAAGTAATGTTATGTTAATATAATAAAATATACGCTAAAATCTTAATCTTATAAACATTTATGTATGTTTGTTTGTTACGATATTTCTCCGTAATTACTTAATCGATCATCATGTAATAGGATTTTCGCAATATGTAACATACCAGTGTTTTAGGTAGTGCTTTAATGGGCGACCGCCCGTGTGATGCAAACTATACCTGGGGATGAAATTATTTTCAGATGGACAAAGGACGAACGGAAATTGGAGTAAGAAAAAATTGGAAGGACGAGCGAGCTATGATAAGGGATAGCATATTTCTCGGATGGGAAGCGTGCTAAGACTGCAATAGGGAGACCAGGACCCGTAGGTCTCTTTGTATACTAATGTATGCGTGTGTCGTGAAAATCAAATAGATCTCAGTGAACACGCTGATGATCACAAATGACTCTCACCTTTAATGTAGCGTCTTGGAATCCGATCGAAGCGATTGTCGCAACGACCAGCTAGTATTGACGCCAAAATTTAATATACTTTACAAGTAAATATGTAACAGTGTTTAATATACATACATACATATAAAAATAGACGTGTGGCACTCGGGGACTGCCGCGGTAAAGCTATTGCATAGCATTTTTTATCTACTTATGCAATTGTAATTATTTATTTATTTTATTTATGCAGTATTTTTTATTTTCTTTGATATTAATTCAAGTTACACTTTTTGAGCATGGTGACCGATAAGAAAACATTTTTTTTTTTTTTTATTAAATAAATGAGAAGTTAATATTGTTCAAAATATTTTTATTATCTTACAATACGTGTAGGTTATTCAGGAATATTAATCATTGAAACTATAGGTTTATGGTAACTGAAATAAGAAACATAAGTTTGAGACTTGATATCTTCCAAATATCTGGAAAATACCGCGTCACAACCAATGCCACCTAGAGGCGAGTTGCTGAACTAAAAAGACAAGCGAGATGTTTCAAAAAAGTCATTAAAAGTTCTGCTATTCATCGATAGATGGCAAAACTAAAAAGTATCACCGCTGTGCCGGTCGGAGTGGCGGGTGTTAGGTTATTTTCGTTACGGAAATTTTGGATTCAGTCTCCACGCTCAAGGCCCGCGATAGAAGCTATGCAATAGCTTAAAAGCTTTATAAACTAAATTAGTTATTTTGTCAAGTTTATTATTGTCAGATGTTTTGACGGTGGTGTAACGAACGGATGCGGAATATTTCGAAGGAATTTTTGCATTCTCTATCGCATATTTCATGGAGTGCTCCGAGGAATTGTTCTCCGCAACTAGCCGCCATCGTTCCACGCGGCAAAATTTTCATCCTCATCATCTGGATAGTTGGCGCTCCACTACTGTGAGCTTTTTGAGACACTTTTGCCCCGCACAACCAATCTGTGGAACGGTTGATCGTCTGCGGTATTTCCGGACCGATACGACCTTCAAACCTTCAAGAAAAGAGCGTACTCCTTCCTAAAAGGCCGGCAACGCTTTTGTGACTCCTGAGGTGCAGACGTTCATGGGCGGCGATGATCACTTGCCATCATGTGACCCGTCTGCTCGTCTGCCCCCTCTGACATAAAAAAAAACTTAGGGCGTCTGTAACAATATCCGTAAATTTCGTTTATCACATATAGGTGACAGTGGCGTACGGTACTTTAAAAAGAAAGGAACTATTTTCTCAATAGTCAAGTTTCGTATTTTTTTTATAGGTAACACAGGAGCAGATGGGTCACCTGATGGTAAGTCACTACCGTTGCCAATTGACAGCTGCAACTCAAGAGACAAGTGTATTGACACCCTTTAAATCTGACTAAATCTTGACTGGCCTATCGATCTTGTGGTTAGTGTCCCTGACTGCGACACGTGGGGTTCGATTCCCGCCCAGGACAAATAATTGTGTGATGAGCACGGTCATTTGATCTGTGTACTTTATTTATAATAGGTATGTATTTAGAAATATATAAGTTTATTTATCAGCAGATTGGTAATATTTGGGATCAGACGATTTAGATGTGTGATTATATATTTAAAAAAGAACCCTCTCCCTAGAATCAAAGGAAGGGGTTTGCACCAAGTAACTTCACGAACTCTGCGAAAAACAAGTAAAGAACTGCTTAACACCGGTTTTCTGTGAGGCCGTATTATTAATTCCGGTGGAGCAGGCCCGTTTGCCATCATGGAAGTCACCTTTTGGTATCCGTGCACGAGCACGATCCCCAGGTTGGTGGGTACGAGCCGGCGGCCGCTGCCCACGGTCACGTAGTTGCGCTGGCAGATGTTGTTGATGTGCACCGGGATCGACGCGTCCGTGCCGATGCCGTGCTTCTCCATCAGTGTGATCACCTGGTCATGTATAATCATATGTACATTTTACATCGCAATGCTTGGCAACGAAGGAAAACTTGACAGAAACACTATACCAACCGGTCTGAGCAAAACCTCCTTTTCAAAGAGAGGCCTCTGTCCAGCAGGGGGCCATTACAGGTTGTTGATGATTATTGAATGTTATTAATCACAATTTTTAAGTGGCTTCTCGTCGTGTTATCAAGATTTAGTTAAAACTATCGCATTGTACCTTATTGTTACTTTGTGTATATTTTCCCTTATATCATTACTTTTTGTTTTTACCCGACTCTGCCAGAAAGAAGGTTATGTTTATTGAAAGTATGTATACTTACTTCTTTGATGGATTTTGGCTTGAGAGGTGTCTTTAGATTCGTCTTAATAGTGAGAGTGATGTTACTTATACATATTTAAGCAGTCGGGGATTTTTCTTCTGCAATTTTTTTTTTTAATAACAAATCCCGCACTAGGAATAAATCCTGTGTCGCGGGGGACTTTACAAACATACATGAAACAGACACAAAGTACACCCAGACTCAGAACAACAATTTGTGGATCACACAAAATGTTGTCCCATGTGGGGTTTGAACCCACAACACTCGGCGTAATAGGAAGCGGCGAGACCACCGCTTAAACCACTACGGCAACCGTGCAGTCAATTTGTCGTTTTGTCTATACATGTCCGTTTTTTGCACAAATGGCAATTTAAGCTGCAAAATTGTATCCACTTTTTCATGTGTTGTCAAAATAAAAATAAAATCATTTTCGCCATTTCATTGCCAAATCGCCATCCGCGCAGTCAAATTAGCTTGTTTATACTTAAAATCGTTTCTTTTTTATTTATGACGTTAGGTTGTGTCTAACCTATAAAGTATTGTTTACTTTTCTTTAAAGATAATACTATAAAAAAACAATTCTAAAAATACTAAGATTGAATTTAGAATACTTATTCTTATGAGTATGCTTTTGACAGAACAGTGGAGGTCAGCAATGTCGTACAGAAGCGAGCAGCACTACAATTCTCTGTTCTTCTCTCTCTTGCTCATACTACACTCGCTACAATTAGTTAAATACCAGAACTTTTGCTGTTTAATATTTATACAAATAGGAACTTACTTCAGACTCAGTGAGGTAGTCGGGGGGTGATGTTTGGCATTCCACGAGCCTGTGGTCGTGAGCCTTCAGTACTTCGTCAACCTTGAGCAGCGGCACAAACTCGTCTTTGCCGAACGCCTGTGGAATGACAATTGTGGACTAAATGTAATTGTATGTACATTAGACTAGGAGTTTTGGAGTAAAATACAAACATATTTGTATTAATCAAATATTGTTATATATTTATTGTGGTTATCTCTTAACAAAGGTCATTTCAATTATTGTTGAAGAAAATACAAAATGGAATGTTTGACGGGCCTGTTGGTCTAGTGGTTAGTGACCCTGACTGCTAAGCCGGAGGTCGTAGGTTCGATTCCCACCTAGGACAAATATTTGTGTGATGAACACGATCGTTTGTTCTGTGTCTGGGTGTAATTTATCTATAATATGTATGTATTTAGAAATATATAAGTATGTTTATGAGCAGGCTGGTTACCGTAGTACAGGCTCTGCCTAGTTTGGGATCAGACAGCCGTGTGTGAGACATGTGAGGTTATTATTATTATTATAAGATATTTTAGAAATAAAATTTTATGTATGTTTGTATATATATGTATAAAACTATGCTAAAATAATATTTGCATAGACTAATTCCAGACAAAAGTTATAAGCTGTTTAAGAGGAGTCTTGGTTGTTAGCGGATTGGGGGAAGTACAGCATACCTGCCAATGCATGATCTCTGTGTAGCCAGCATCGACGAGCGTGTTCCCCGTGTAGTAGAAGGTCTCTGAGCCGATCTGGAACGTGATGGTGGTGGAGAGATACTTGCAGTCGCGGGACAGCGTCGCTATGAAGTGGCGAGTCACGTAGTCGTAGATACGCCACATGTCGCCTTCTAACTCCGACTCAGCTAGGAGAATAAACAGATAACCTTTTTTTTTATACAATTAGATATTTTATGTATATTATATAGAAAGCAGAAAGATAATGTTTAAAATGATATTGGTTAGCACCATCCGTGTGGTGATGGATTAAGAATACGGAGTAGTACCACCCCTATTAATGCCACGGGTGTCCTAAGAGCCAACTAAAGGAGCAAACTACGCAGGACAATAGCACTCCAAAGAGAAGGAATACTTGACACAAACCCTATACCAGCCCGTCTAGCTAACGTGGTATAGTAGACCAAAGTCTCCTTTATAAAGAGAAGCCTATGTCCAGCAGTGGACTACTAAAGGCTGTTGATGATGACGATATTGGTTCGAACGTTCCGAAGAGTCCATTCGAAGAACGGGAATAGCATGCATTCGAGGGGCCTGTTGGTCTAGAGGAATAGGAGGTCGTGGGTTCGATTCCTACCCAGGACAAATATTGTGTGATGGTGTGATGAGCACGGTCATTTGTTCTGTGTCTGGGTGTACTTTAGCTATAATAGGTATCTATTTAAAAGTATGTTTATCAGCAGTCTGGTTACCATAGTACAGGCTCTGCCTAGCTTGGGATAAGACGTCCATGTGAGATATATTAAAAAAAAAAGAAAAAATCTAGAAACCATCCATAGAATTTCAAATAAACGAACCAGAACAAGTATAGGTACCACTTATACCTAACAATAGCGGTAGCATAATGACTGAAATCTAATTATGTATGTCGTGAAAATCAAATAGATCTCAGTGAACACGCTTATGATCACAAATGTCTCTCACTTTTAATGTAGCGTCTTGGAATCCGATCGAAGCGATTGTCACTACGACCAGCTAGTATTGACGCAAACGAGTGACCTTAATATAGCATGTTACAGAAAGAGGTGATCCTATTTTATAGATTTATAGTAGATTACGTAAATAGCTAACAATTTAAATAAAAAATAAAATAAGAAGATAAATCTTTAAGTTTGATAGATACAAGTAAAAAATTCACGGTCCAATCTAATATTTTGTATAGTTGGTCAGATATATTTCAAACTATTAATATTTTATTAAAAGGATATCAGATTTTAATGAAAATATCTTCATAAAAATAATAAACATCAAAAAAGTAAACAGGATTATTCAAATTGTCAAGATTTTTTTATCAATCAAATGTTTGTCGTATTTATCATAACGCACCTAAAATATGAAAAAAATCTTTTTATTTACTAGAATAATTTCGTTCCTTCTCTCTCTTCCTCTTTAAATAAATAAATCATAAAAGTTATGTTGTGTCACATACATTTGTTGTGTAATAAGCATTATACATTTGTTTAGTTTATTGACAACATTATTTTATTCTGTTTAAAACTCAACACACAATACACAGTACTGGCAGTACCAGAAACATTTCAAATGAGGACAAGGAACACGGGGTACCTTTTACCCCGCAGATTAACTTCTGCTAACTTTTTTTATGATACAAGTGTTAACGAACAATCGGGTCACCTGATGGAAAGTGACTACCGCCGCCCACAAGCGCATTGCCGGCCTTTACGCAGTACGCTTCTTTCTAAGGATTGGGTACCTTTCGTGACTTCGGGCAGGGTACCTTTACTCCTGGTTCCCCGGCTATTAGTACCCGGCGACGGCGTGCGGTTTTAGTCGGTTCGAGTCCGACATGCCACCGACAGGTGGTATCCGAGGGGATTGTACCTTTACTACACAAAAGGTTAACGTACACCTGATCTTACCGATCGGTTAGTGATTAAAATGCGTGAAAGCGCAATAAACGAAAGAACAATTAAATTTAGATGAAAAATGTTAATGTTATGATATATACTTACAAGCAGGTCTCATGGGCGTGATGGGAGGATGGTCACCCACATCACGTCCTTTCTTCGGTCGGTTCATACCGCTGGCGATGATGGCTCGCACTTCTGCTCCCCATTTGCTCGAGTTCTGCTGCTGTCGTAGAGTGCCCCTGAACACAACAATTTTTTTATTTCCTCCCCGAGAAAAATACAGACCTTAGATCTGTTACTAATTTGGAACAGCATTTTGTTTATTAGTCTCGTTTGTGTTTTACAGTCTCGTAATTAACGAGAATAGGAATTATTTTAAGTACTGTACAATTTTTTTATAAATTCTTATAAGTAGGTATAAATTTGTAACTTATTATTATGTATTGTTGGAATATTGTACATTTACATTGGCAACACTGTGTGCTGTATGTCACAAACTAAATAAGTTAATGTGAAGTTACTGTTTTCTACGTTGGTGTCGAAATATATGATTGTGAACAATTGGGAAGGGTTTAATTGCTTAATATGGATATCTGAAGCACAGGGGACAGTAAGCAATATTGAACTGGCGCTTAAATTGGATCACTTCTGCATTTTAACAAAGTGGCACTATTTGGTATTGTATAATGGACACAAAAAGTAGCGCTACAATATGGCGGACTATTAGTGGCGCCGCTAGCGTTTTTTTTGTGTTGCTAGTGTAAAAAAATAGTGCCATTTTGGTAGAAATACAGAAGTGGTCCAATTTAAGCGCCGGTTCAATATTGGTTACTATCCCCTACATTCGGAGCGACGACAAATATAATTAACATGTATAATCTGTAAAATAATATACAAATTATAGAAGGGGAAAGGGAAGTTGAAAAATCACTGCACTTACAGATACAATCACAACTTGTGACTTGTACAGCTTGCGTGATACGAAAAATAACAAAAAGACCAATGCATTGCGTCTACAGACCAAGTTAATTGCGCTTTGCAATCGAACAAAAATTGCATTGCTTTAAAAGCAAGTATAATTAACATTAATTCTGACAACTACGAAAATGAAATTTATGCGTGTCGTGACAATAAAATAGATCCCAGTGAACGCACTGATGATCACAAATGACTCTCACTTTTAATGTAGCGTCTTGGAATCCGATCGAAGCGATTGTCGCTACGACCAGCTAGTATTGACGCAAATGTAACAGGTACTTAATAATAATAATATACCTCACACATTTCACACACGGCTGTCCGATCCCAAACTAGGCAGAGCCTGTGCTATGGTGACCAGACTGCTGATAAACATACTTATATATTTTTAAATACATACATATTATAGATAAATTACACCCAGACAGAACAAATGATCATGCTCATCACACAATATTTGTCCTGGGTGGGAATCGAACTAACGACCTTCTTTACATAGTATAAAATGAAGTCGTTTTTCATAAAGTTTAGACTACGTTTATCTACATAACTTATTTAATTATAATTTATTTTATCGACGAACTGGTCGGGACATATTGTTTGTTTTTTATACTTAAATAAAAATCTAAGTATGTTTTATTCAATTTATAAGCTGTCTATGAAAAATTATCTAGCTGATACTGAAAACTGTTATTGGATATACAGACAGACGCGTAAACCGACTGTTTTATACTATTTAAAGCTGATATTGGTTTATAAATATAAAAGTGGAACTTACATTAAGTCATAATTTTCTGGATAGCTGGTAGTTTCAGTACGTGGATATGATATATAACCCTGTGTATACAATCGTTCCGCCACCTAATAAAAAAAAAACAATATATGCATTATTATTATAGTACACCAACCTCTTTGGTATGTTGTAGTCAATCTAAGCTAACTTCTGACATTTTTTTTTATGGTATAAGGGGCAAACGAGCCGACGGGTCACCTGATGTTAAGCAACTACCGCCGCCCATGGACACCTGCAACTCAAAAGTCACAAGTGCGTTGCCGTCCTTGGAGTCCCTCCCGCTCGAGTCAGCGGGAGGGGGGATTTGGGCTCCGGTAACCTCACTCACTCAGTGAAAGGCAACGAAATAATTGCTTAACACCGGTTTTCTGTGAGGCCGTGGTATCACTCCGGTCGAGCCGGCCCATTGACATTTAATAGGTACATTTCTAATTTCTTATATTATATTCTACCACAATCACACAACGCCATCTAGTCCCAAACTAAGCAGAGCTACTATGGGTACTAGATAACTTATATAAATACATATTATGTACTTTTTTTTGTAAATACATACATATTATACATAGAAACATCCAGACCATTTGGTCTGGATGTTTCTATTTGTGTGCATGAACATGTAATGTTGGATTTCCAACATTACATGTTCATGCACACAAATATTTGACTTGAGCGGGAATGGAACCCGCAACCTTTGGTATAGCAGTCTGTTACACAAACCACTACGCCATCCGGTCGTCAAAGTTCAAAAATTCGAAAATTAAAAAAGATTTTCGAATGACTAAAAAAAGAAAAAAGAAGAATAAGGAAAGAAATAATCTTTATTAATGCGTGTGTCGTGAAAATTAAATAGATCGCAGTGAAAACACTGATGATCACACATAACTTTCACTTTTAATATAGCGCCGTGTAATCCGATCGAAGCGGTTATCGCTAAGACCGGCGATTATGGACGCAAACACATAACGTTAATACAGGTGGTACAGAAATTGATTTGAGAGATTTAGAATACAGTGTTACCACCCCTATTCATCTCGTGGGTATCGTAAGAGCTGACTAAGGGAGATATTCCCGGCAATTTTGAATTTGGAACTGTTCTATATTCGAATGTGTTTAAATTTAGAATCTCAAAACCATTGAGTTAAAACAACACTAGAGAAGCAAACCTCATTATCACACGTCGAAAAAAGTGTAACCACTTTTGAACTTTGACGACGTAGCTTTGATACCACTAAACATTTGAAAGTAAACATATTTATGTCTCATTTAAACGCGAGACAAGAACAATACCATCGCTCGGATTAGACAAAGACAAAGATATAACTTTACGATGGTGGGCCAGTGTTGACTACCGTATGAAATTTTACCCATAACAACTAAGAAACAACTTTTTTTTTAAAACAATTTTGTAATAAAATAAATTAATTTAAATATTCTAAATAATATATTTCGAATTGAATAGAATAGGTATAAATAATAAAATAACTGGAAATATTTGGTTAAAAGGGTTTATATTCAGTGTAAAATCAAACTGCGCTGTGAAGCATCAGTTTTGTATACAATTGTCTTTTAGACTCTTTTTTATAAGTTTGTGTGGATATTTTACTTTCATGATACAATCTTATTTTTACGTATGTAAAAATAATAGCATTTAATAATAAAAGTGAATGATCAACTTGTAGTGATAATAAATAATCCCCAGGGTGTATTGCAAATTCTATTATAATTTAAAAAACAAATAAAAATAATAAAAAAAAAATATATTTTTATTTTATAAAAAAAATTTATTTATGTTTATTTACTTTTTTATTTTATATTTTTATTTTTATGATAAACATTTATTATTATTATTTTGTACAATTATTATTTAAAATTGATAATAAATTAAGAAAAACAATGAATTAATTTTTTTGTACAAAAGTCTCCAGGACTGCGAGCTTGGCACTTCTGCCAAGCTCGCAGTGAACGTTCAACGGGTCCCTAAAAAAAGGGATCGGTCCAGCCCTAACAACTACCGTTCCTCCTATATTTTATTATTATTGGCAAAATGTTTAAAAACAGTATAAAGCATATTATTTCATAAATAATAAATTCTCCCACTAATGTGGGAAAACCAAAATGATTTTTTAATGGTAACACTGATTCTAAATTACAATTATCAGTGTTTTATTTCAATTATAGCCTTATTTACGATATTATCAATCCAAAAACCATAAACTTACACGTGAAAAGTAATTCCGCATGATTTATTAATGTTTTGTGACCTTGAATCGCATTCTTTCACTACGCATTTAGCCATTTTGGCGATTGTTACTGTCATGTGTCGCTATGTTCAACTCGGTTGACGCCACATTGAATAATGAATTGACGTTTGCTACGCATATGCCTGTGGACATATGTGCAGTAGCAACGATTTTAGGCGGTAATTACTCATCTATGTAAGTATTATATCAATGCTCAAAACAGTTGAAAGTATTAGGATTAATGCTATTGTTTAGTCACAGCGTCGATTGGAATCTGTCAGGTTACGTACGAAAATGAATCTTTCTAAGGAAAATGTTCGTGCAATAATTTTCAACAACTTTACAAGAGGCCTGACACGGCTTCAGTGTTTTGAAGAGCTAACATCTGTGTTCAGTGATGAAGTCCCATGTCTGCGGACTGTCGAACGCTGGTATTTAGAATTCCAGCGTGGACATACTAGTGTTAGTGACAATTCTCTTGACTGAAGAACATCATTGCTGTGAGACAACTAATTCTCGAAGATCGTCATGAGACGTATCGAGAAATAGAGTCTCTATTAGGCATCTCAGGGACAACCATTCAGAAGATCTTGCATGAAGCGCTTGGTGTGAGAAAGCTAGTTTGCCGTTAGATACCGCATCTGCGTTCCGACGATCATAAGGCGGCCCGCGTCAGATGGTGTAAGAAAACTCTGCAAAAGTTCAACCGAGGAGAGTCAAATCACGTCTACGACATCATCACTGGTGTCAATCTTGGATCTATGCCTACGATCCTGATTCCAAACAACAACCTACAATCTGGGTCTTTCAAGACGAGCCAAAGCCGACTAAAGTAAAAAGTAGAAATTCTTGATCATCCTCCATACAGTCCTGACCTAAGCCCTAACGCCTAAAGCCCTTTACATTTCCTAAAGTTAACACGCTTTAAAGTCAGCCATTTTGAACACCCCCACTTTAGAGTGGAATAAATGTTATAATAACTGGTTTGAGCGAATGGAAAAGTGTATTAAGCTACGTGGTGAATACTTTGAAAAAAAAATAAAAAGTACTATAAGGTTCTAGTTGTGTTTTTTTTCTTAAAACGACAAAACTTAAAAGGCATGCCTCGTAACTAAACAGGACAACAGCACTGCAAAGAGAAGGAAAGCTTACAAACCCTATACCAACGCGTCTGGCCAGCGTGGTATAGTAGCCCAAAACTGCCTTTCTAAGGAGAGGCCTATGGCATGTGTCATATGTATGTATGGGAATTAAAGGCTGTTGATGATGATGATGATGAAAATTTTTACGAAATTTCGTAATTTTTATTACCGAAATCTTATTTTGAAAGACATGATAATTCATCATATATTATTTAAAATAGTGCACCTTCACTAGGAAAAGCATTTTATGAAGACCAACTTCTTTTTTACAAGCTAAATAAATTAGACACGCTCCTATATTTTGACCACACCGTTTTTTGTTTTTTTTTTTTCTTACGCACAACGCCATCTAGTTTCAAACTAAGCAAAGCTTGTACTATGAAAGCTAGAATGTCTGCAGATCATACAAACATTTGGTCCGACCATTAGGCATCGAGATTTTAGAAAAGTTTTTTTTAAAAGGACATAGGTTAGGTACCTCTTATTTAAAAAATCTTCTTTAGGGTTGCATAAATTACTTTAAAGCGAGTGGTGCCATAGGTTTTAATATATTATAATGTTACAACAGATAAGAATAAAGTTGTTTTAACATCAGTACTTTCCTAAGTGAAAATCCTAGTTTTGATAATCCATGTGGTGAAGAAACGTCCTTCTGTAAGGTTCCCTTACCACCATCTTAATCAAAGGAACGTTAAAAAAGTGCAATTTTAGCGTTCGTTATTCGTGGATACAAAAACCTAGATTCGTTTTTTGGGTCTACATCTGGTTATGAAAAAAGCAAAAGAATACAATTTCTATTAGCATTGAATATTTTACCTGCATAGCGTGATGTGGTCCCATGCCAAGACCAGCACTGGCCACTCGCATCAGTTCTACAGTATTCAAGGCAACAGGGCGAGGTTTTACTTTCTCTTTGGCTTGGACGTTAACCACGCTGGAAATAAACACATTTTATAAAAAATTATACTTAATTAACTGTACGCTGCCATGGTTTGCTGTAGCACATTATGGGAACAAAACTGACTCCAAATATAGATAAAATCCATCTTTGATGCGGGCTGTACATTGTGTCCAAATTCCAACTAAACCGATGTAGATCTTTTTCAGTTTATGAAGCGTACACAAACCAACAAAACATTTTTATATTTATAAATATTATTTATTAACTATATAAAGGAAAATGAATATGATAATCATAACATGTAATATATTTGTTACAGTACACCATGTAGAACAAAATAAAAATGTAAGAAAATATGTAAAAAAAAAAAAGAATTATACTTACGTAGCTTCCTTTATCTCCTTGATGCCAGCAAGGAACATATTAGCAATCTCTTTTTCAAAACATCTGATTCTTTTCCATTCTAATGGCAGCTCTCTACCTTCCGAGGTGCTTGCAGTCACTCTTAGTACCCAGAAAGTCTCAGGCTTGAAGGTTTGTATCTCATCATGGCGTTGCACACAGAAGCCTAGCGTTGGTGTCTGACATGGACCATAAGATATGAGTGATGCATCAAGGTCTCCATATCTACCTGTTTTGCCAAAAAATAATCTTTAGTGTAATAGACAGCTCAGACATTTTAATGTACTAAAGACTAGCCTAGGCTAGGTCGAATTTCAATCAATTAATTGTGACCACAGCACAGCGCACAGTGATTACCATCTGCCATAACTAGTGTTAAGTAATCTGGCTGTACAGGTTAAGTAAGCATTTCATTCGTAGTCTTTATGTAACAAAATAATAGAATTAGTGAACAATCAGCTTTTTTTCTTACCTTGAAAATACTTTGTCTGAAACCGTGTAAAAGCACATCCAATGCGCAGGTCAAGTTCTTGGCGTGCATCAACACTGCGAGATTCATTCTCATTAGGTCTGACCAAATTTAACATAGCTGCTTTGATATCTTTTTCTGTGATGGCTGAGAATTTTGCTCTGTATGTCACCAGAGGTGAACAGACATCTCCCTTCATGTAAGGCTGGACACAACTCATCACCTAGAATTATTAAAACATTATTATTAGATCTGATTTCTATAATAAGAACATAAAGATGATGTGTATTAAAAATAAGTTGTTTGTTATGTTAAAGGGGTCAGACCTGCAGACGGGTCACCTGATGGAAAGTGACCATCGCCGCTTATAAACATCTGCAAATTTGGAGTTGGAATGGAAAATGGAAGTTCTTTTTTTTCTTGAAGGTTTGAAGGATGTAACGATTTTTAATACATGTCAGCTTTATCTTTACTAGTAAATATGAAACTAACAATATACATAAATCTTAGAAGATACTATCATGAAGCTGATCTGATATAGCCAGGAGGTTAATAGCACTCTGCTGGTTAGTTCTTTGAGTTTGACTTCATTGTAATGAAGCGAACATTTTAGGCTTACTAACAACTGGTCTCTTATCTTCTTTATAATAATAATTTCATACATGGGTGTGTCATCTCTAACTAAGCAGACCATGTACTATGGATACCAGACTGGTTATTAACAATTTTACTTTGTCATTTCATTAGCCATTACAGTGCTTAAGGTACACAGCTACATAACTGGTACCAACTTTATTAAAAGTCTTCTAGTAAAGTTTGGGCTCCATTTACCAAAAGGACAGCAGAGTGCTAGAATTTGCAATAATAAATATAGAAAGTCAAATATCTTTGCTAATTAATAATAATATAAGCAGATGTGAGGCAGAAGTAATAACAAGCATTTACTTGATTGTAATACTGTTTCTTATTAGAAAGTTTATATAGGTTAATGAGAAACAGAATGGTTATTTTCCAACTCACTTCAAAGCAAATGTTTTCGCCTTCTTTATCACAATCAAGCCACAAGATGAGATAGTCACAGCCTTTTGCTTCTTGAGCTAAGAATGCCGGTATCCTCAATCTCGGCATAGCCTCCTTCTTCTCGGTGGGACAACTGAACAATTCTACAGGGTCCACCTTATCCCAATTATTGTATTTGCCGGTGAAATCCAAACTCATAACGTGACCGCATACCGAAGTCATTTTAAAATGGACAGGTTCATTTTTAAAAGTTCCGTTCCATTCATGTACTGAACAAGCAGAGTTAGACGCTAGAAAAATAAAGTGTGTTTAGTATATCATATTAGTTCGATTGAATCGCAGAAAATTGGCTATATGACAAACCTTTATTTGTGGTACATTTAGCATTGCTAAGTAAGTTAGCGAGATTTTGAGCTAAAGATGGCTTTTCAGCCACCATCAAAGCCGTTTTCATGATTTACAATCAAGTAAACCGGTAATCATGAAAATTACCACAGGTATATTTTCAATTGTAAATTTATTATCACCTGCGTTTACACAGAGTGCAGACAACCATATTGCATTGTTTTGACATTATTTTGACATAGGAGATAAATGGTGCCATTACGAAAATATGTTTTCATTTTACTTTGGGACATGCTATTGACTTCAGGAATAATCTTCATTTCCTGCCATTTTCCCAATTTTGTGTCTATGCAATGTCTATTATTGGAAAGAGTTTTAGCTGTTCTCTTGTATCTAAACAAGTCACTATGACTGAACACTGAACACATCGTTACGCCTTTTTTGGGAATGCAACCATTTTCAGACGAGACAAAGAAATATGATCAAAATATACTTTTTAAGGTATGTTTATAATGATTTCGTAGGATTTCGTTATCTGTGTGTGAAGTGAAGTGACACGACAAAAATGGCAAAAATTTGTTCTTTAAAACTTGACTAAAGCGACAATAAAATAGCAACATTGCCATTGGCCCTTAAAACTATGCGTTCAGAAATATTCATTAAACTAATTTAGGACAAATACGTTATTTGATAATGTCGAAATTGTAAATTTTATTAGTATTATTAAGTATAAAAGAATTGTGTTGCCTGAAGTAAGTCATGGTTCATTCAAGAAAAGGTAATAATAGGAAGGTAAAAAATTAACGAGCTTGTTATCATGACGTTAATATTTGAACGTTGAAATTAAACGTCATTCACATATTGAGGACTATTGAGGAGTGAGGTGCGCCTGCCTAGTTTGATAAACCATTGGAAAAACCTTGAACGATGCTAGGATTATTATTTAATTGTGTCTAAACTGTAAAATTGTGTTGTACACGGGTGGTCCGTTGTTGTAAACAGTGTGATAGTGCAATATTGAATAATCGTGAAATAAAATTAAATATAATGGTACGTCGTGTCATTTTTTATTGAGTTGTTTATTTATGTAACTGCTACGGTACGTAAATGTGATATGTGAAAGTCGATATATTGTTGTTGCAGAGCCATCCTCGTAGTGATAATATACCGTCGGCTCATTTAAGAGTGATGTTGCCGTCGACGAATATAGATCACGGAATGCCACCACCGTTTATTGACATAAGTAAGTAATATTCCCATTGGTGACATTATATTTGCATATTGTAATTAGGTGATAACAATCTAAGTTCGAATAGAATTGCCTGTCAGAAGTGACTCACTTTGTTGATATTTAAAACATGGAACACAGATTGTTTTTTTTTTATTTGCCTTGTATTCTAGTTCACTAACTAAGACAATACATGTTTTTTTCTGGTAATAGCATCTACTCTAAGGTTTTTTGATAACTTTTGTTAACCATAACCCCAAAGCAGTATAAACTTGGCATGATGAATCAATGCTTTTTCAATGATTTTTGTAGTTGCGCTTTTATATTATTACTATTAAAATTATTATTTTCAAAAATTGCAAAACCCACAAAAACCCACAGACTGGAACACACAGTTATAAAATAAATATATGTTAGTATGTTTTTTGTACTTAGTATTATAAAATATTTCATATTTATGTATTATTTCATATAAATACATGCATAGTATTTCTTTAATAGATTAACATACAATAAAATATTGTGCTCTTTAAAAATAAGCTCATATACTTGTTAAGATATTAAATTAAAAAAATATTGTTTAAATCTAGACTCTTAACATTTATTCATAATGGAACTATTTTTACATTGAAAATGAAAGTATTATGAGATTGGATTTTTAAGGGTAACCAATGGGAATGGCAGGAAGGTCATGACACAGGATTTTGGAAGACTAGTATCTAAATTGCATTGAATTTGATTCCTGTATTGTGAAGTATACAAAGAGGTTGCTTTATTTCTAGCATTGCAGACATCATAGGGATAACTTTAATTATTTTAAGATAATGTATTTTTTTTTAGACAATCTCCAAGATATACCACCGCCACAAGCTGACTTCTCAGCGCCGCCACCTTATGATGTGGCTGCAAACTCCAAACTACCCACATATGAGGAAGTGCAGAGAGAGAAGCAAATGGAGGGGGAAGATCTCCAACAGGTAGGAATTAAAATAATATGTGCTTCGGTGTCTAGATTGTCTGGTCTGTCTGGTTGCTAAAGTAGTACTTTTAGAACTCACGGTACCATGCGAACCAACATCCCTAAAGACCACACTTTAAAAAAGAATAAGTATTAACTCCTGATATAACTAGAAATGGCTTTTTGGTCATGTTGTATGCTATGGCAGTGGCTGAGAGGGGTATACCAGCTAAATCCATCTAAGATCTTGGATTGCCAAAAGCTTCAGTAAACTCTCAGAATAACCAAAGCAACATAGTATCGTATCAAATATGGTTAAGAAGAGAAGTAGCACAGCAGACAGGGAAGGTGAGCGCTACATGTGGCAAGAAGTAAACCTACTCCTGAGTCACAAGACCCAGGCGCTCTCGCATGTGTTGCCTCCATCTATCACACGAAGGACCTCTCACTCTCACGGTGAATCCATTGTAAGCCAAGAAATAGGTGTATTCAACTGTGAGGGAGCCATGCTTTGGCATTTATGGCTCAGCTCGATAGAGTGATACCATAACCTCAGAGTAACGGGTTTCACTGAGGTCATGGTATATGAAAGCATTAATTATTTAACAACAACCTTTAATTGTCCATACATATGTATGAGTATGTATGATGCCTACTATACCACCCTGGCCAAAAGGGTTGGTATAAGGTTTGTTTCAAGTTTTCCTTCTTTTTGCAGTGCTGTAGGACAACAGCACTCAGCTTTGCAGGCGCAAGGCTTGCCCTTACTTGGCTCTCACAATACCCATGGGATCAATAGGCGTGGTGACACTCTGTATTCCCAATCCATCACCACACGGATGGCCACGCATGCAATAAAACAATTGCTTTATATATTTTTTTTTTTAAATGCCCCGACGAAAAAAAGGGGATAATTATTTGCTCTCTTTTGGGGCCAACGCAGAAACCCCTGGGGTTAAAAATATACTATCTTTAATATTCTTTTTTTTGGTATTTTGTGTTCAAAATAATTTCCCTAGAAATTGTTTCAAGTTTTAAAATATTAACCCCAAAAAAATACTTTATCTAAAAATTATTTTCCTTTTTTTCTGTTTAACAAAATATAAAAATTTTTTGGGATTTCTGAAAAACTTTTTAAAAAAGTATTCCTCCCAAGATTTTTTATTTCATTCAGATAAGGTGCAGTAAAAATTATGGTCACTTACTATTTTTTTCAGATTTTTAGGAGTTTTTCCTCAAAAGGGGAAAAACAACACTTATAGGATCATTTATTGTCCGTCCGTCCGTCTGCCTGTCTGTCAAAACGCTTTAAACTCGGAAAGCGCGGAGGTATCGAGTTGAATTAAGACGATACACTCGGTCTACATTCTCTCAAGTGGAAAAAAAATAAAACTTATAAGTTAAAAAAGATACGGCCTTTTATCCCACAAAAAACGTATATTTCGACACTAAAGGGGAATTAAAATTTTATAGGGTTTTTCCGTTGACCTAGAGCTATAAAGTTTACCGTCTTATACTACAAGTATAGGGAAAAATCTAAAAACATACATTTGTAATTGAATCATAAAAAACAGGGTCTTTATGCAAGAAACAGAGGTCCAAATTTTGAATTGAGTTAACTTTGTCATGTGGGGTATCGTATGAAAGGGCTTTATTGGCACAAGCTTAAACAGATTTTTAATTATTTTTTATGATGCACAAATTTGTACGGAACCCGGTGGGCAAATCCGACTCGCACTTGCTCGGTTATTTTTATTATAATTTTTCACATTATAATGATAATAATTCCAATTACATCAAGTGAATGGTCAAGTTCAAGTGTATAAAACATTTACATAAGTGATCTTGAAAAAGTGCTGGTTAAATATACAATATAATGTTAGCATTGTTATTATATTATAATAAACATTTTCCAGAAACTTTCATACTTATAAAAGGTGTATTTTTTTTTTATTCTTCTCAAATAATATGTTTGTATTTAGAAATATATAAGTATGTTTATTAGCAGTTTGGTTACTATAATACTGGTTCTGCCTAGTTTTGAGGTCAGACCGCCGTCTGTGAGATAACTCAAGTTATTATTATCTTTACATAGGATAAAATGAAGTCGCTTTTTTTTCTTATACGCTTAGATCTTTCAAACTACATCACTAATTTTATTGCGGTTTTCACTAATTGAGAGAGATTCAAGAGGATGGTTTATATCCATACTAGTATAATATTATAAATGTTAAAGTGTGTCAATCTGTCTGTTTGTTACCTTTTCACGCTTAAACCGCTGAACCGATTTAAATTATATTTGAGAGATAGTTTGAGTCCGGTAAAGGACAATGAATTGTTTTTATTCCAGAAAATATCCTTTAAAGGGGTGAACAAATGATTTTAAGTTTGTATGAGGAATAACTACTAAACCGATTCAGATGTCATTTGGTATGGAGATAGTTTGATTCTTGATAAAGGACAAAGGCTAATTTTTACCGCGACAACCGACAACGCAGGCGGAGCCACGGCAAAAGCTAGTGTATAATACATGCATGTTATACTACTACATTGTCATGTGTAGTCGTAAATGTTTACATTGTAAACGCTTGTTAAACCTTACGAGATAGATCTATATAATGTACTACGGCAGGGGTGGCGTTTGTGGGGGATATCAGAGTTTAAAAAGGCGGGGGCAAAGCGGCCGTCGCCAAGTCGGGCTGTCGTTGCAGCGGGTCGTACGTCCGTCCTAAAACGGCAACGGCCAGCAGGAGCGGAGTAGACCTATAAATATTACATATAAAGATGTCCTGTAGTATTGTCTTATCATAATGATAGTATAATTACTCCACACGGACACCACATTAGTAATATTAGTGGTATCTACGTTGCACCCGTGCGAAGCCGGGGCGGATCGCTAGATTCGCTAGTTATAAATATGCCGTCCAAAGTCCTTATGAAAGCAAAAGTGTTTCTGTATAGTAAAAACTTAAGGCTTTATTTGTTGGTGATGGAAATGGTGTGAAAATACATGTAGTAATAAAAAATAAGGACATAAATTAATATTAAAGATGTAATAGGATCCACTATTTACTGTGGGGGGAACGGTAATGTATGCTCAGACTTGGGGCTTTAGTTAAAATCGTAATATTACTATTTATCAGAGGCCTGCATTGAAACTTTACCAATCGCAATGTCGAACGCAGAACTCGGTCGAGAGCGAGTAGATGTGAAATAAACTCACACTAGGCCCTCTGTTCGGGTGAGTAGGATCTAGAACTAGGATCCCAGATGTGGCTGTCACTCACGTGTACAATACAACTGTTGTGATGGTGATATGTATGTACGAGTATGTGTAAATACCATAGGGTCACACAACAGGCTGTTTAATGTGAAATTAAAGCTGTGCTATTTACAGTGATCTCACAGACGTGTACTAAAGCTGAAAGCTAGGCTCGCTAGTGTAACGGTTTTATTCGCTTCGTAAACCTGCTGTATGCTAATCAAGAGATACTTACATTGTTCGCATCACATGTTTATATATTATTGTTCAACTATTTCGAGCGTAGGAACCATTTAAGAAGTGTAAAAAATAATAAAACAAGTTGTTTTTTTTGGTTACTTTTCTGGTTTGCTATTTTTTAAACCACATTTTAAATGAACCTTGGCCAGCGTCGTTCTAACGTCGAGTTGACGCTTTATATATTCAAGTCATGAGCATGCGCCTTGCTTTTATCAGAATTAGGTAGGTAATTTTTGACTCCTATGAAATCGTATCATCCCACGTCGTCGTCGTACGTCATAAATATGTGAATATGAACTAGATAAATATAAAAGTCAAGTCGATCAACGATAACCTGATTACGGAAACAACTACTTAATAGAAAGTATCACAGAGCTATTAGCTCAAATTGTTATTTTATTTCCTCTAATTGAAATTATTAGTGTACTCAACTACTACGTAATTTATTGTGTCCTTTACCGTGGGAGAGCTATGCTTCGGCACGAATGGGCCGGCTCGACCGGAGTGAGACCGGCCTCACAGAAAACCGGCATTAAGCAATTCTTTCGTTGCCTTTCACTGAGTGAGTGAGGTTACCGGAGCCCAAATCCCCTCTCCCGCTGACTCGAGCGGGAGGGACTATAAGGGCAGCAACGCACTTGTGACTTTTGAGTTGCAGGTGACCCGTCTGCTCGTTTGTCTCCCTTATACCATAAAAAAAAAAACAAAATGCTTATTAAATTTAATATCAAAAACGAATACTTCAATTACGGAATTGGAAGTACGGATGTTGTCTCTACAGCTCAAAGGGTGAATCTTCCGACCAGGTGTGGTAATCATGCCTGGCGGACTGCAGCCCTACGGCTGATCTTGAAAAGTTGAATATATCTTTAATTCCCAATGTGCTGGGTGTAAGGCTTGCTACCTATTTACGTTAGAAGGTCCACGTCGTTGGTAAAATGTTTGTGTTTAATACATCTCTACCTACCCGGCTATACTATTTTCACTCTATAATTTGCATCTCAATTGAAATAGTTCAACGTTAGCTTGCTTACACAGATGCAAGGCCCCCCTCCGCATCAGCCCACGTTCGCAGCGTTCGTGACGGTAGAGCCGACGGAGGGTACGGCGGAGCAACTCGACCCAGAGAACAGTCTACTTGGTACTGACATCATGTTTCTAACATCATTTTTTGGTAAGTTGTTCTTGACTACATAGGATTAATTTACATTTGGTTCCTGATAAATTTATCAGGAAGTGACTTCACCCAAACCAAGTAGCTGGTACCAGTGTTCCTATTATAGAATCTAGATCAAAGCGATTTTGTCGTATCTCGAAATCAATCCAATTTCATACCAGAGACCAAAAACTATTAAAAAAAATCGTCTCTAAACTGTTTCGTATAAAGACTGAAATCACTAGGAAAAAGTCAAGGGTATATTATTGAATTTTGCCCTCGTAGAAAAATAACACAGAGCATTCGACGAGCGTTTTTTATTGATTACATAACATACTATGGTCCATTCGCGTTAAGAAAATAGTGACGCATCCAACAAGCCTCGCCCCATGACAGGAACAGGAACCTGATGTTCCAAGAAATTATCGTTTCGTACGAAAGCTTGGTACCTAATTGGTCACTATTTTCTTAAGGCGAATGGACTATACTATGTTTCACATGTGGCCAAAGCCGACTATTCTGATTTCTGCAGTATTTAGATATACTTTGTTTGTAAATACATATATCTTACGACGGATTGGTGCGCTTAGTCACGATCTTTTTATTATTCACACTTTGTTTTGAATCTTACTTATATTGCGAAGTTACATCAGATGGGTTTTCATACAGTTGAAGACGTAACAAAAACTAAGCCATTTAACTAATGGCTAATGAACACCAATCCCTCTTCTATGAAAAACAATGTTATTTAATATGATGTCATTCAGGAAAACTTTACAACGAGTCTATTTTAAAAAATATTCAAAAAAGGGGGAGATCGGTATAAGGACTTTTCTTCCTAAGCTGTCATGAATTGTGATGGGACTTTTTCGCTGTTGCAAGCATTAGCAATTTGTTATTTTGACACCTGGATATTATGACAACTGGGCATTTTATCAATTGGATGTTTTGATAACGGGACATTATGACAATTTGACTTTTTAACCATTTGTTGTTTAGACACCTGTATATTATGACAACTGGGCATTTTAACAATTGGGGATTATTTCCTTTCCATTTTGACACGGCCTTTGGCATTCGACCCAACATACCCCGGAGGGATATTTTCCTAGTAGAGTAATTACAAGTAAGGTTTTGTTTAGATACAAAAAAAGCGTTTGTGGTTTTCGTGTCACATCGATTTTTAAAGGTCTAAATTTATCGTATTTTTAACTATTTTCCTCTGAAAGAAAAAGCAGTAAACAATGGCGAATAACTTAAGCTCATTTGGGTCGAGAATAACATGCTACCGATAAAAGTAGTTTTTATCGTGCTCAAGTGTTAATTGTAATTGATTAGGAAAATATAAAGAATAGATATACGTTATCTTTTAATTTTTACGATGTTTACAGTTCTAATTATTTACGCTAAAGGAAAATGTCGGCAATTATTTCCTAAATATCATTCCGATTGAAAATCCACTCATACTCATTGTAAATCTTATCAATCATATGAATGGTAATTGCACAATATTATAACCATTGTATTACTTGTTATCGGGTTTTGTATATACAACACATCAGCCGTAAAGATGCGGTGTACAGTCGCACTGATATTTCTATATAAGGAGGATTTATGTGGATGTATACAGACTTTTTAATCGACTGCGCCAGTTTGTAAATTTTAATAAAAATTGAGTTTTTTTTTTTTGTAGTTAGTTACTTAGATAAAGTCTTTCTTATAAATTAATAATAGGGGTTCAAGATCCAGGCTCAATCGTAAATTATTACATTTTTAATAACTACAAAACTATGTTGAAGTAACAGCAATGATAGCGTTATTTATTATCTTAGAATGGCTGAACAGATATTGTTTCACCAGTTTCAGTTCACCTTCTAAATAGGAAACTAAATATAAATCGGCTCATTGGTTTAGGATCTATGATGCTACAGACAGATACACAAATACACCGATAGATGAATACACACGTCAAACTTAAAACAACCGTTTTCTTGGGCGTTGAAAATGAATTTTCTTAGTGATTAAGAGGCACAACTGCTCTTTAAGGGACAAAAGTAGGTGTTTGGGGTTTTCGCGTTTTACTCGATAAAAAACACCGCCTGTACGAGAATCAACAAGATAGGAGCAACCTAGCAGACGGGTTGCCTGAAGGTAAGTGACTAACCAGTAACCGCCGCCTTTGAACACATGCAACAACTCAAGAGTGACAAGTTGGCCCCCTTCCCACGAATTGGTAGAAGAGGTAGCCGGTTGATTCCGGTAACCTCACTTAGTCGGTGAAAAGCAACAAGATAATTGCTCAATAGCGGTTTTCATTGACCTTTCGAAATCTTCTTTCAAATCTGGTTTCGATAAAATAATACATGTTCCTTCTTCCGAAACTCGTAAATAAAATCGAAACGTCACCTTAGACTAACAATCGCACGATCATAACACATCGTGTGAGTGGACAGCAAATTGTTTGAAAAATCGTAAAAAATCGTAATTTTTTTATTACGAGTCTCGAAAGAAGAAACATTATGCTTTTATGGAAACGAGTTTTGAAAGAAGAAACAATATTCTTTTATCGAAACCAGTTTCAAAAGAAGCAATATTATGCTCATTTCAAAACTGATTCTGAAACTTGGTTTCATAGGCGACCGAAGGGTGCCTTCCAAAGACCAAACCACGGCGTCCGATGCGACGACCAACAGTTGCACGCGGAAGGCGGTACACGCGACATTATGTTACTGGCGCGGCCAATGTGGTCCCTGGCACGGGGAGTGTGGCCTAACGGCTACGAGAGGGGCGACGGGACAGCCGTCAAAAGTCTCGCATTAAGCAGAGATTTCAACTGGCGGCGGTCAATGCCGAACACCGGCAACCGGATGGCCCGACCCGCAGACGCCGACTTATCGGGAGCGGGGGTCTTTCTTCTAGACAGGAGATTGGCCAAGAGGAGAAAACCTCTATAAAAACCACAAGGGTAGGGTGGCCTAGGCCACATACCAAGACTTATCTCTCCACGTGTCCCTCTGTTACGCAGAGGGCACGTGCGAGGGTTACGTCGGAAGACGACGTCTCATGGGGGCGACGGGATTGCCGTCAAAAGTTCCGCATGGAGTAATTGGCGGCGGTCACTGCCGAACTCCGGCAACCGATCGGCCCAACCCGTAAACGCCGAGCAATCGGGAGCGGGGGTCTTCTCGAACGGGGAGGAGGGGAGAGAAGGCCGCGAGGAAGAAAACCTCTATAAAAAATTACCCCTAACCCAAGCTGAGGGAGCCCGGCGAAGAGGTTAACGGCTGGGGGGGTATCCCAGCCGCTAGGGCAACAACGCGTTAGCTCACGCTTAAGAGCAAACAATAAAATGGACGTGACTAAAAAAAACATGATACCCCAGGAGGGTACCGACCGCGCCGCGGTCGGAGAATCCCTCGGTACTCCGGCTTCAACCTCGGTGGTTGACACCGGAGTGTTCTGCCCACCGTATTCTGGGGGGGCACAGTTACGTGCACAGCGATGTCCGAGTCCGGGCCCACCAACCGGGGCGCACACGTCCAGTTTTGTGCGCCCCAGAACGCCGAGTCCGGCGTCTTCCCACGCCAAGTCGGGCGAACGAGGAAGTAGGCGAGCGCCAATAATAGAGCGCCCAACAACAGAGCCTGTGGAAGGCGCAAGGAATGGAGTGGCAGCGGAGGGGATTCCGGGGATAGCGACGCTTCGTCGTTTTTTCTCTGTCTCCTCGCGGTCATCCCAGGCCCGCAAGCGCAAACCGAAGGGTTCGGCTGAAGAAAGCCGGCCCACCAAGGTTGCGCGGCCAAGGAGGGGCGCAGCAAGTGGCGAAGAGAGTGGAACCGGGACGGAGACCGAGCGCGAAGGCGCGACAGGTCTGTCCCACTTCCCCAATCGCCTCAGGAAGGAGAGCAGTCCGCCAAAAGAAGTTTGCGACCGAGCTAAAAGTCAACCAACCGCCAATGTAGTTCACAAAATACAGGAGCTCTGTCGGCCGGTTGAGAAGGCATTTTTAGGAACGAAGGGTTCCCAGGGGCGGGCAAAAGAGCCGTCGCCAAGAGCTATTACCACCATCAGGGCTGGTGTGTCGGAACTCCTCAGGAGAGCTTGACACATCAGTCCTGACAAACGCAGTAGGGAGGTTAGAGCAGGAGAACGAGGCACTCCGCTCCCAAATGGCCCTTCGCCTACGAAGGAGAATAGGAAAACTCCGCCGTGGGGGTCCAAAGTCTATCGAATACCCCCGCGGAACCGAAAGGAGATCGGCAGTGCCAGGACTCCGAACAACGCATAGGGGAGGGAAGGGAGGAGGTCCAGTGACTCAGCCTGAGACAAGCCCAGTTCCGTACCGAGACCAATACAGGGCCACACTAACCGTGTATTGGCCGAGGTTCGGCAAAGATGTTGGAAGGTCAGTACCCAGTAGGGGAACACCATGTCTCCCCCAACATTAGTCAGTAGGGGGGCGGCGGGTGGCCAACGGCGTTACACCTCCCAAAATAAAAAAAAGGGAGGCTTTTGGGGGGGGGGATGGATGTCTCAAAGACAATATAAACTGGGTGTCTTGGCAATCCCAGGCGGGCTCGCACCAACGAGCCATGAACCGGAGCCCTTATCCTACAGGTAACCGGCGAAGGTAGCGCCGCCTTAGCGGGACAAGTTGGCAGCACGCCTGCGGAGGTACTGTCCCGCACGGACGCTATTATTGCGCCGGTCCGTGCAAGACAGGATACTTAGGGTGTTGGACTTGGAGGAGTCTATCACCCAAGCCGAAGTTCCAAGGCGATCGCAACGGCGGGGGATTCATTCTCCGACTCAAAAGTCGGAGACATCCGTGCCTCCCGTCGCGGCTATGCACGGCCTGGGTCCCGGTTGCCCACTTGCGGCGGTCCGCAAAATTGCGAACGCCAAACGGGTACAGGTGGGATGGTTTTCCGCCCTAGGATAGAGGCCTGCACCGCGTCCGCTGCAGTGCTATCTGTGCCTCGAATGGACACGTGAGACTAAGTGTCCCAATGAGACGA